GAGGAAGTGTCGAGGGAGAGGGAAGTCTGGGTGTCCCTGCTCAGACTGTTGCCCCCACGACCCGGCCCCGGATAAGCGGTTGATGATGGATGGATGGATGGATGGATAGTCCACATAATGTTGTCCAAATATAGCTCATTTGATACCTTAACTAAATAATAACTCATTAACACCTAAAAGTATTCATTACCTTCAAAAAGCGAGTAGGGTCTGTCTGGAATGCGACAGCCGTGAGTGCCATAGTCCAAACACCACTCGGCAAACTGTAAAAGAAAGTAACGTATTTGTAGACACTATTCTTGACGGACGACAAAAGACATCAAATTTGTTAACAGGAGATAACTCCTTCCAGACAGTGGGTTGGAAATGGTGAGGAAAAATTGTACATTCGGTGTCCTTTGTTTATACCACAATGCTGTGCTGATTTCAGAAGTGACTCATTTCACACTCCATTAGACTGAGGGTGCTAAATCCTCAAAGGAAAACGGTGGATTTATGCTGTGATGTCGAACAATCCAACAATTCGAAAATGTTACAAATGCAGGTCAGCCCCAGAGGTACACCGACTGCAAATTTTTGGGGTAGATTTTTTTTTTTTGGTAAGTATGACTTTCTGCCCCTTTTTTTTGCTTTTTTTTTTTTTTTCCAATTGATAACATTCAAAGCCCAAAATTTATAGTCTCACCACAAGTAATTATTAAAAACCCACAAACTGCTCTGACTACTCAGTCCAACAACTTTTAAAATAAATAAATATAAAATATATACAATAAATATGAATACTGTATATATGATATACGTACATGCAATGTAAAAATAATCAAAATATAACTAAAAAAGCAGCAGTCATCATGACGAATAATATTATACTAAAATATATTTGCTCTTTTTTTTTGCTCCTCTACATCTATTCAACATTTGACCAACTATATTTAATAAATTCCAGCCAGTAACACAAGACAAAACCATGAATATATCCCGGAGCGGACTGTTAACATTACACAATCAACACTGGCAGAACTGCTGTTTTTTTTTGTCTTATATTTTGAAATATATAATATTATTGCGAACATTTCTCACAGTAAGGGTCTCTGTGTGTGAGCGTAGTGCGGAAAATAAGATGAGTGGATGAAAGAACTATTATTTTGTCATCTTACTTTGCAGGCTCGGTACAGGTATTTCTTGTCCTTTGTGACTTTGTAAAGGGACAGGAAAGCATAGCCGTTGCCGGCTGTGCCATGGCAGATGCCGTAGCCTTTTCTGAGGAGGCCCCGCTGCCAGATAACTTCAGCACATTCTGTAGCCTCCTTCAAGTACTTCTCTTCTTTGAAAACCTGCAGGACAAATAGGGCAGCCTCATGTTAGAATATTGTTGCTGATAGGCAACAATAGGCACTTTACCTTTGGATATCTATTATTATTTCAGATTTTTTTTATCATTTATTTTATACATTTTAGCAATGTTCCACACCTTTTATAAACCAACATAAACAGACAGTAAACAAACAAAGGAGTTTTTCTATGTAGTTGAATGTTAATCCACCTCTTAAGTAACTCGTAAATTGCTGTGGATAAAAGTGTCTGCTAAATGTAAAACAGTTGTATTCTCCAGTGAATCACAACCATGTGGCCCTTGACATGATGTCAATAAAAAAATAATTTTGCCCTGGAGGTAATTTCTTTCTTTACCCCTGCACAAAATGCTGTTTTATGCCAAAGCACGTTTTAATAGGAACATAATTATTTAAGAATCTAGCAGTGCTGAATTCCACCGCAGGAATTCTCGATCAAAAATGGCCCAAATGTGCAGGAGGAGGAGAGCAGAGCACAGCAAAAAGGACGTGCCAGATGAGGGGCAAGCCCCCTCGTTGCCTGATATGTTCCTTAAGATCCTGCAAGAGTGCCTCAAATAATAAAAAATAGGTGGGCTATTCTGTTGTGACTTCCTATGTGACAGTATCAGTTGAGTTTATTTCTCTGCTATATATTTGATTTTTGATTCATTATTTTGACAATTGTTCATTCATTATTTATTTATTATTAATTTATGCAATTGCACTGCCTTGATTTTATTAAGGTTAAGTACACAGTCACAACCATAAATACAATGATACTAATAATTAGGTAAAAAAAAAAAAAAATTTTGGTGTATCGGTTTTCAGCCTTGGTTTTCTCATTTTCGTTTTTCAGCAAATTTTCCTTGCGCTTAAGTCTCACCTGATAAGCCATGATTAGCACATGAATGATACCAGGCGCTCCGTGGCACCAGTGAACTAGTCGGTCGCTCTCATTACTCAGGGATGATGGGAAGTTCCCAGAACGGAACTTTTTGTGGCGGACGTAGTCAATGCAGGGACGGACCAACTCTGACAGCACGTCTGCGTGTACCTTTGCTGTAGGCTTTAGAGAAACAAAACAAACAAACAAAAAATACTGGTGAGGCCATCGCTCATTTCATCACACACATTAAAGCACTTAGGGACTAACGTGAAAGACTTAGTGAAATACTTTCATTTCAGTTAGAGCTGCACATCACATTAGAGGTGAGTGATTAGAGCAGGCGTGGGCAAACATTTTCACTTGCAGACCATAATGGGTCCTAAAATTTGACACGGGGGCTGGGTCAGAAGCAGTCAGATGGAATGTTTTTGTGAACTAATATTAATGTTATGCATAAAGGCCGGGAAAAGACAGACATATAATAATAATAAAAATCAATAATT